CTAAAGCAAGGTGTTTGTTTTTTTATTGCCTCAGGAAGTGATCGTTTGTCCCACAGTGCGATCGCTGCCTGACAGTTTTGCAGTCACTGGCACTTGGGCAGCATGTGAGAGAGCGAGAGAGCGGACAAACAGGTTGGCCGAAAGAACGCCCCCTCCGGTTTACCTGTTCCCACACACACACACACTCACTCACACAGAGAGGCACTCACGCGCACTGGAGCAACAACAACGTGCTGATTGGTCAGTGTGAATCGCTTGGCAGCGAACCGGCATGCGCAATGGACGCCATATTGAAAGGCGGAAATCGGAGGTAACTGTAATTGCATCGGAACTCCTCCCCAGGAGCTCTTACTCCCAGGAAAAAAAGGATGCTTAGTGAGGTACCTGCGGGTCCTGCAATCCCATTAAAATTATCCACTGCATTTGTACCTTGCATCTCCTGGATAATTGCAATTACGCCTTTTCTCCTTCTCCTAAAAATTCCACAGGACTTGCATTACCTTCTTATCTTTGGTTTCATCTCAGCTCGTTGCTCTTTGCACTGAACAGATTCAGATTTATAACTGCCTGAGACATTGCATTGTCTCAATGATTAAAATTAATTGGTGCCTTGTTATTATCACAACCACTAATTATGTTGATGCTTCAGTGGGTATTCTAAAATATTTATAAAATACTTGGCAAGTTTCTTTCGTCCCATACTATTTATTATAGCGGAAATAATATATGAAAACGACTAAGAATTAATTTACTTATTATCGTAGCCAATCTAAGCTAAATTAAAAAGTTATTATTTCCCTAGATCTCAGAATATAATTTTTGATGGTGAGAAACATATTTTTAGGCGTTAAAACTTTGCTAATAACTTTTTCGGAAAACAACAGATACTTTCTCTATTTTTTATGAATGTAATTATATGTCTTATATATATCCGCTCGATATGGTATTGTACTCAGCAATGCCTTATTGAAAAATAGTCCCATATATCGGTAGCACGATCTCAGCATGTGCCATCGATATGGCATCAAGGACCACCCAAAATGCAAATTCGGGAATGGAGATGAGAAATATGATCGAAAACGCTACAAAGTTGATGGACTGATGGGGCGCCAGGCTGAGTACCTAATCAAGATCGGCCACTGCCCACACAGATCCTAACTGAAGATCACCCCCGCTGGCGATTTCAGTATCGCTTACAGCGACAGATACATTTTTGGCGCCAGGCCTCGACAGTCACCAAATAACCAAAATAAGTGTTAAAAAATTAGGAAATCGTAAAATTTACATAATAACAGATCATATTTCAATCGAATTAGAAAGACAGACGGCAACGACAACAGTTGGGAATGTCAGGAGAACCAGAAAACACATAAAGATGGACATAAAACAAAGTTGGTTGGAGGCAGCGAACAGCGGGCACAGATACGAGATCCCACAAAATGTTAATGAAAAAGTGCGATAAAAATCTTGTCCAACATGAATGAGAAAAACGAGGCAACAGCAACGGCAACAAAACCAACAATGCAGCGATCAACACCAAATTCTGTGGTCCAATGATGATCAACCCCCTCCCCTCCTCTCCCATTAAAGAGGGAGGGAGAAAGTGCCATCATCGTCATCTGTTTGATGGGGGGCCCCGGATACCCCTTCCCTGTTCGATGGTGTTAAGAATGAAGACAATAACGAGGCTGGCACACGCGCCCCTAAACTCTCCGCCGGACACCTGCTGCGATGCCCATGAGGGGCCTCCGGGCAAACAATGGCCCTCCTGCCCCCCGACCCTCACCTTTTCCACCGGACTCCAGGCGCCCGAGGAGTCGCGTTATGGGGCACCGGCATCGGCACCACTGCAGCTTATTAGAAATGGTAAACAAACAGCCAAATGACCAAACGGCCAAATCGTGTTGAATTTTATGGTCCTCCATTCCGAACCGTGCGCACATTGTTAATCATCTGGAACTGGCCATAAAGCTGGCTTCATTGGCCATTATTAATTCGGTTGAAATTATTATTAATTTTGCGCCATAAATCTCAGCACTGCGTGAAGCGAACCCCTTTTGTGGTACGTGTGGGTAATTAGCTTTGAGTTCCTCGGGATTAGTTGTTCATTGCCTGTTTAATCATAAATTAGTGACGATGATTTGCCATTAATGTTTGTTTTCGGTATGAACAATAGCATTAAATAATAAACGCTTTAACTTAAAAAAACTAATAGGATATCTTACAAGTGTCGCAATGTTTACTGAATGTCAATTGATAACCTATTGAGATGGTCTTCATAAGCGGGAGACAGCATTATTATCTAGTTCCATAGATCTTAATATACAATAGTTGGTTACTTTTTAACTACCTAACGCAACTGTTCTTTAAATAAATTAAAACATTATTGTACCTTTGTAGCACTTTTCGAAGATAGTAGATAAGATTTCAAAAGTTGTGATAGATATCCTCTTTAAAACTTTGTATAACAAATTAACCAATCCAAATAAGAAAGAGCTTTTAACCACTGCACAAAAGTTCTTGCAGATCCTATAAGATATAGCATCCTAAGTTAATGGTATAAGCTCATAAAAGTTGAAAGAAAGTCATAGCTAAAATGAGTGACAATCTGAAAAAATATATGACAGGTTAAAAAACAGGCTAAAACTATTCCCCTGTTAAAGATAATGAAGTATATATTCATTGTGCGTTTATTGACACATGTGTCCTTCATTTTTAAAAGATTATTTTTAAGTTTTATTTTTTATATATTTGTTGAAAGCGCAACATAAGGATGGACAAAAGTAAAGAATTTTATTGGTGACAGATGTAAATGAAAATCACAGTAGAACCTTAAAACTTAACTCTCAATTATTATTATTTTTTTTCCTATTTTAAGAGTAGCCCTGCTTAAAACTAACTAATATGATGGCATATGGCCGGCAGCTTTCCCAAACAAAGTGCTTTCCTGGACATGTACTAATGTATTCCTGCCCCATACTTACCCACCAAGAGCCCACCGGAAATTTAAAAGTTCTCTCACGCGTCCCGTGGCAAGCCCTGTACAATCTCCTTCCGATAATTGGCCGCCAATTCAATTACGGACTTACATTCACTCGCTGTCGCAGTTGCCGTCGACATCGTTATTTGTGGGCGGGGGGATCTGGCCATGTGCAATTGCCTTGTAATTTGCCACAATTATTCATATTAAAAATGAGTTAAGCGCTGCCTCGGGTGCTGGTTGCCTGGTGGAAGGGGGAGGGGGAGGGGCAGCGGTCGACAAGTAAGTAATTTTCACGCGTAGGTAACATTAAACGATCTTGGGGCCGGGCATCGGACCCAATTTGTGGACGGAAAGGGGTCGCGGGCCGGGGGATAATAATCGCTGCCACATAAATATTACAAGCATCTGACAACTGAAAATTATCTCCTTCACTCACGAGCCATTTAAATCAATTTTACACTTCGGATTTCACAGGCGGTCGAGGTGGCCGAAGGATACGATACGGGCACCCCCTTTATCCTCGGGGGCCTGAGACCTGGAAATTGAAATTTATTGAAAAAATGATGACAAACGAACGAAAATAAGCGAATGCGGCAGCTGCAAGGTGGTCCCGGGGGTGTGACGTGAGAAGCCGACGCCAAAGCTGAAATTTAAGGCCAGCACTTTGAATATATATGTTTATGGCCAAGATAGACGCTGATTAGGGTTGCCATGTGGTGTGGAATTCTGTTCAGAATTAAGAGTTAAGAATCTCGAAATTATGTTGAGTTACACATTTAATACCTAAACAAAAAAAGGTATAGCTTAAGCTTATGCTAATCTCGAGTTTTTATTGAATTACGCTTTTATTATTTACATAAAATAGGTTTTAGTTTATCGTATTTTAAGATTCATCGAATTTTACCATGATTTTACAAAATCTAATTCTGAACAGAATTGCTTTCGCTCAACCAATTTTGTGGACAATTTTTTATTATTGCTTACAGTGGCTTAGAATTAAAAAAGTTCGTTTGTCATGAACTTTAAATCGAATAATGATCTGTTTTTCTGGTATTAATAGTGCTACTATTAGAGTGAGGTTAAACAGTCAACTCAAGTGCTTATTAAAAACGTGTTATTGACTGGCCAACATATTGACTTTATGAGCATGGTTAATATAGTGATTTTGGTTTTTGTTTGTTCTCTCATATTATAAACAAATTTAACGGTCACCGATTTTATATCTTAGAAGAATGTTTGGAACTTATTTCTAAAAAAAGTATTTTAGTCAAATATTTGAAAACAATCAAACCACTTATAATTATTATTGTTTCATTCATAGGCCAGAAACACGATACACTTTATAGGCTATAGTCTTTCTTCTTTGATTGCAATTTTGATGAACTCGACAACTCTGGGCTTGCTTCACATTTCACTGGGGTGTCATAACGTGGCTCTGCCACCTCGCTCCCCCCGACCCCTCTTCCCCAAGCGGGGCACTGTGCAAAAACGTTTAAACCAACAATTACGCGAGCATAAATCAAACAGTCGAGTAGAGTGTCGAGGAGCAAGGCGGGCGGTCCGGGTTCCTGTCTCGGATCTCGCTCCACCCTCCTCCCTCCTCCCTCCTGGCTCCTCGCTCCTGGCTCCTCCACTTGGGATTCTAGAGACCGCAGTCGCGTGCAGGGAAGAGGCCGGGAAGAAGGTGCCTGGAATGCCGACACCATCTGCTGTCACAGGCGGCGACGGCGACGCCTTGGCCAACCATCCTGGCCACTTGAGGGACTCCGCCTCGTCCTCCTCTTGGGATGAAGGGGCTCATCTTCCCCGTCGGTTTCGAGTGTCGATAAATAATAGCGGCCAGCCCCCAAAGTTTACTGCCGATGCGGAATTCACTGATCTCGTTCTGATCGCTGCCCCGAGATTAGATTGTGATTTCCATTCCCCATCGCCCGCTGCTTCCTTTCTGCGTCTGCTCATGGTAATGGCCCTGGCATGACCGGAGATATTTAAATAATTTTTCTATTAATTAAACAGTTTAAAAGCCATTTTCACTTGCGAAAGAGGCGTTGCGAATGCCCTTGGGGCACGCGACGCAGCGGGGAGCTGTCCAATTTGCAGATATGATCGTGGGGTTGCCACATTTAAAGTCCACCTCGTGGGTGGCCCCAATCTCCTGGGCGACTCTCATTCGGGGATCGCGTGCGTTGCCGCGATCTGAAAAAAGACTTAAATCATATATCCGATTTGAATGTGTGACATGGAACCAATGACACTCCTCAGCTTTCCATTATTAAGTTCACATGCCAAGAGTGAACACAAAATTTCGCAAAGAGCTTTCGAATTTGGGGTATAATTTGATCTATAAATCTTCCTTTTTTCTGGCACTTAAAGTCTTGGGAATTTCACGGTGCTCATACGAACAGATCTATGGAAGTACCTTCACTTGTAATATTTTATTGCTTTCTTGCGGAATTAGTTTGTATTTTAACAATTACCAAGCCTCAAAAATATTTCTTAAATCGACAAAGGGATGGGTTCACCTTGTATTTCATATTATTTCTTGTTTTTCACGCTGAACCCGTAAAGGGAATGAAATTTGTTTATATAATTCTTATTAGTTGAAGAGCTCCACCACTTTTACCTACCTTCAAATATATTATCTCAAAAAAAAAGCTGAGTCCCAACAAGTATAAAACCAGTCCATAAAAGTAGTTGCTTTACAGATATTTACCTCTGACAATCTTATAATTTCTAATAATGAACTATTTTCATATATTTTTTTGGGCCTAAGCCAATTAGAAACAGGAAGAAGTGAATGAATGAATATTTTCGTTTAATAATTGAGTGTCAAGTAATAAAAAATCGGGATTCTCCTGCTTTGAAGTGTGAAATCGGGAAGATCTCACCGTGGAACACCCACCGTATGGGTGGAACTAATCCGTTCCGAGGCTTATTCCAATTTAATCGTCAGCTGACACTTATAAATAACCAATTTCCTCTCGCTACCAGAATTGGTGTCGAGATTGCGAATGCGAATGCGAATGGAAACCCACACACGCGGATCACGCATGGGGAGTTCAAAATCGAAGCCGTTGCATAAATCAATGCCACAAAGACACACAAAAGTTGAATTGTGTGCTGTGCCCGCGGCACTTGACCACTGGCCTCTTGACGCTCCTCCTCTACCAAGTTGGAAACCAAACTCCCAGTGAGATCGTCTGCCAAAGGTGTTAATATTCAATTAAAATTCTAGGCTCACCGGGCGAATGGCTAATAAATTAGCGCTCAACAAGCGAGTTGCCAATTTCAATTTGTTTTCGTATCATTTCGAGGAGGAGCGAGGTGGCCAGTTCCAGGCTGTTGGCCAATTTATTTATTACGCCGCGCAGGTGGCAAGCGGAGAAGGTGGCAAAGATTGAGATTTGCTGCGAATTTGTTTGCATTGCTGACCTCGGAGGAGGGTCAGACATGCTGGGAATGGTGGTAAGGCCTAATCAGATCAGATCGGAAATGGAAACTCCGGCTGGAGCCAGTCTCAATCACGACTCGTGCCCCAGCTCAGCTCGGCTCACTTCGATGCTCTGCATGGGATCTTGTAATCGATGTTGTAGCCGGACAAATCTGCTTACACCAATGCTCGACATGAAGCCGCTTTAATGGAGGATCTGGACTTGTTGCTGCCACAGAGCGATATTTATCGCCCCAGATTGAGTTGGAGCTGGGGACCCACAGTCGATTGGAGGTGGCCACTGCATGAGGTCCAGCAGGCACCAATTCATTGGGCTTCGGTCACTTATGATCGCTGATTGAGCTTAAGTCACAATTAGATGCGATTGTTTCTCATTAAAATTAAAGTTAAGCAAGAAAGGAAGCAAACTCCTGAAAGCCGAAGTTTGTCAATAGCAAAACACAGTATTATAAATAATAATTTCATAAGTTGTTCCAAAAACCAGAAGTCTAAGATATATTTCTTATCAATAGCCACAGAGCAACCGGACTTTCATAATTGATGAATAAAAACAAAGTAAATGAATTGACTTTTATTGCACTAATCAAAAGTTAACCAGCATTAATACATATATGTATGTCTGTATACAGACATGATAATTATACTCGGACTACTTCCGTACTGGGCCATTTTTTATAATATACAGTATTTTCTTGATAATCTGGTTTAATTTGGTTGTCTTGTCGAACTCGTCTTGCAATAATTGGAGCAGCATTGGCTGTACAACCTCCATATTTGGGTTGATATCCCATTTGATTTCGTGCGATCTCCTGATCAATCCAACCGCGAAGCTTGGCCACACTGGTGTAGACGGCCGGGATGTCTTTTTGTCCACACCCGACTCCCCAGTTGACGATGCCCGCCTGCTCGTACCGCTCGGGATCTTCCTTCAGCGGACAGGCAAGTGGAAAACCACCATCGCCAGTGCAGGAGTCCTTGCCGAGTTCGCCGCCGGCACACATAAGGCTTTCATCGAGGAAGAAGTTGTCTCCATGGGCAAGCTGCATTCGTGCTTGACACTCAGGGTTCTTCACCACCGTCACCTCAATCTTTTTCATGACCTTCATGAAGCGGGTGGCTCTAGTGTTATGCTTACCCCATCCACTGACAATGCAGCGACGCAAGTCAAAGTTCCTATTCGACGGCGGCATACAGATGGTCTGGATGTGGGGGGCTAGCCTCAGTGGTCTTTCGAGGAACAGAAGAGCCACATTATTAGCTCCATAGTTTACGGAAAAGCCGGGATGACGCACAATTTTCCTGATACCTACTTGAACGTGCGGGTAACGCTCGGTCGTGATTTTGAAGCTCCATTCCCCAGCCCGCACAAATATCTGATCCAAGGTCTTGTTTTTGGTAATGTAGGCTCCAGTAAGCACCACATCAGCGGAGATCAAAGAACCACCACCAAAGTAATGGTTTCTCTCATCCATCAGAGCCACCACCCAAGGAAGCTCGCCCTGTTTGGCCAAATTTTTTTGATTCGTTAATGTATTAGCCAAGCCGTCCTTGTTGACTTGACCACAAGAGTATGTAAGTGAAACGTCGTTGCTAGGAATTGGACTTTCTATCTGCAATGGTATTTGTCTGTTAGAACTCACTGCACTCAACTCACTATATAGGTATCCTTACCATCGATTGGGGGCAGCAAATTTCCGTGGGGGACCATCCTTTAAAACGGGGCGATATGGGGCGCTTCATTTGGTTATGTTGTGATCCACCAAAAATCCTGCCCTGAACTAGATAAAAGGACAGGAGCAGGTAGAGGACTCCGGCTATTCCGGAGGAGCCAGCCATTCTTGTTACTGGTGTGAGCTATACTGGAGTCTGGTGAGATTTCTGCCTTCTTATATAGCAACCTGGTTCTTATCGCCAACGAATATTTTTCTAATATTTCTTAGAACTAATGAGTATTTATAATATTTCTAACAATTAATGAGTTCTTAGAAATATTAGAAATATTTTCCAAATTTAAAGCTATAAAAGTATTCATGAATCAAAGTTTGTTTTCATCCTTACTGATCCCTGTGGAAATGAGTCATTTCCCTGTGGAAATGAGGAATTACCTTCATTCACATAATTTTAAAAATATTTTTATATGAGGTTGTCGTTTTTTGACGCATGTACATATTTTTCATGAACAATTTATTTTTATACCCTTGCAGAGGGTATTATAATTTCAGTCAAAAGTTTGCAAAGCTGTGAAGGAGACATTTCCGACCCTATAAAGTATATATATTCTTGATTAACATCACCAGGAGGGTCGATCTAGCCATGTCCGTCTGTCCGTCCGTCTGTCTGTCCGTCTGTCCGTTCGTCCGTTTCTACGCAAACTAGCCCTCAGTTGTAAAGCTATCTGCTTGAAACTTTCCCAAAAGTTGTCTATCTATTGCAGGTAGTATATAAGTCGGAACGAGCCGGATCGGGAGACTATATCATATAACTCCCATAGGAAAAATAGGAAAAAAAATTCAAAAAAATTATAACTTTGTTTTTAATATTTTTTTTTGTTCTTTGGGATTCTATTTTATTTAATTATTATTGAATTACGGTTTTAATTAAATTAAAATCGGACAACAATATCATATAGCTGCAATAGAAACTATTCAGCGGAAAATCGACATAGCTTTATATTATATAGGCATATAAATCGAATGAAGTCATTTTGTAATAACTGCAAGGGTATATAAACATTGGCTTGCCGAAGTTTGCTTCCATTCTTGTTTATAACTGAAACCGAATAATAAATACATATTTAAATATATCTGTGGCATTCTTCTAAAAAAATAAAGGATCATAAATGAATTTGTGGGACTACGAAGTTTGTTTGTGGAAAAGAGTTGTCTTTCCAAGGGATCATTTTGTGCACTTTCAAGGAGGAGACCATTTCCCCACATGCAAGACTTCGATGAGATTAACATGCTCATTATTTGTGTGCAGGTCCCTTGATCTTACTCTACTGGGGGTCTGTGGCCGAGCTGCCAGGAAGGAGGGGGAGTTCCATTAGAGACATTAAAATAATTTCAAAAGACATAAATTTTGAATTATGGCCACACAACGTGGACACGGACACGTTGCTCTGCACTTCGCATACTATGTGTGGTGTATGCTTGTGGTCCGGGCACCGTGATGGCAAGCGTATTTTAAATCAATTTCGCTGGGGGAGTGCTGTGAGTGCCAAGTGTTTTCACTATAATTACAGACAATTTCAGACATTCACCGTCGTGCCGGCGGAACCCCTTTCCCCGCGCCTGCACTTCTGCTCGCTGAGATGGCCATTTAAATTGATTTATGACCGCCTGATCGAGCGCATTTGTTCGGGGCGGGGTACTAGGGGGCCTATAACTCATGATCGCTTTTTCGCCCAGTTGCTGCTAATTAAATTTGCATAAGGGGCGCACTTATTCGCCGGTGGGTGTGGCTCTAAGGGACAGCTGCCGCCGCTTGTTGTTCTTCTGTTCGCCATGTATTCCTATCAGGTAGCCAGACATTTGATGTCTGAACCCTCGTCAGAGAATGCTAAGAAGTGTTTGAGAAAGGAACGCAGTAGTGGCCCAGTTTTGGACAACCCCTAACAAGGCCAAAAGGGTCAAGGGGTCAGTGGTTCGTTAGACCCGGAAAACAATGCCTTCTTTAATTGATTTAAGATTTCAGATTCTGCAGATCCACCGAAGAAGCCTCGATTTGTCAGCGATCTTCAGTGACTTTTAATTGCCTGGGAAATTTGTAACTCAATCAGCCCGGTATTGTAACAATCCTAATTGCAGGCGATTCAAAATCCCAGTAGCTAGCCACATAAATACAAAATGATAATTATTCGGTTCTAACAAAAGGATAATGGGAAAAGCAAACTTTGGGCAGGCATATTTCTGCACTAAATGAGCAACTTTTGCAATCGAAAGTGTCGATAGGCGGATCCACGTTTGGCTGAAGGACATAGTAAGGGATGTGAAGGAGCAGAATAGGGAACAGAGATAAAGAGAGAGAGAGAGAGAGAGAGAGAGGAGAGTCAACGGAACAGGCAGAGGAAGTGCCATAAAAATGCAATTTTAGATTTCATCAACTGATAAGAAAAGTTTTTAAATTAGCCGCCAAATGGGAATGCGAAGTTCGCAACTGTAAAATGAGCAACAGACAACAAAAATGTTTGATTAGAAAACGGAGGAAACGAGGGCAACAATCGCGGGTGGCAGTGGAAGTGGAATTGGAGCAGTGGGAATCCCGTGGAAAGGCAATAGTCGGCCTACAAATTGCCGTCGTCACGCCAAGACACCGTTAGAACGAAACTTTATGCATTTGCTGTTGCATTTTGGGTCCTGCGACCACCCACCTATTTTGCCACCACCCCACATGTTGCCACCGTCCACCGGAAAATACCTGCCTGTTTGGATGGCCTCAAAGGAAAACGCACTCCACCGAAAAAAGAGAGCAAAAGTATCAGTTTCAGCTTATCAAATTCCTGCCATCGCAAGTGGGACAGATTAGCAGGAGAATCAAAAGGAAAATGGAATGGAATGGAAATGGAAATGTAAATGGAATTGAAAATGGAAATGCAATGAGGCGCATTATTTCGGCATTTGGCGAAATCTTAAAGACATGATCTACGGGTCGAGAGGCAGAGACAGCGCTCAAGTAATTAACGCCCCTATAAAGGAGCTGCATCCGCATCCTTCTTCAGGATCGAGCTCAGTCCGAATCTCGGCCTGAAAACAGTAGCTCGCCGACGGCGCCTCAAGGATTTGCGCAAATGTTAATGATGATCTGATCTTCGAGGGGAAGCCCCTGCTTTCAGAGTGTGTGTGAGTTCTCCAGTGTGTGGGTGTGCCACTGTTGTTGTTTCCCATCGCAGCTCAAAGGACACGATCTAGTGTCAAGAGCGGGGACGGGTTTCTGTTTGTTTGGGTTTGCCTCGACAATCGCTGATGCGATATTAATTAGAGCAATATCCTGGACTTCAGAGTTCTGAAAGCGGTGCAAGGAAAAAAATATATAAAATATTTATATCCTACATCTGCCGGTCGTACCTACACTAGAAAGAGCTATTTTTCGCAAATGTTTAACCAGAGAGCTCTACAACTGAGGGAGTTTTTAAAACTTTGTGTGGTCGAAAATGTTTTCTTAACTGTCTTGCAATATTATAACTGAAAATATAAAATTCTCGGAAAGGCTAATTATCCAATTTTAAATAAGGATTTTAATATGACACTCGTTTACAAATTATTTAAGTTCAAGAGGTAGTTGAATATCTGATTTGTTTACAAAAAACTGGCCATTTCTGGGCATATGTCGTACTTCTTGTTCTTTTGTTCAATTTTATGTAGTATATTTGTAACCTTTTAACGAATTTTTCAAAACGAAAATAACAATTAAACTTTGTACTTCCAAAGCTTCTTAACAACTGAAACGTATTTATTGTATCTTATTTATTTTATTTTACCCCTTACTTTTATTTATTTTAGAATTTATTTTAATACAATCAGCTTTAACAAGACAAGCCATGCTACAACAGTGCAATATTGGCTCATCATTCTAATTCCAGAAAATAATTGAGGATGCATTCGAATAAATGTATATCCGAAATATCCTTGTTTGAATGTTACTATATTCACTTATATTATATTGAAAGGAAATAATAGTCAAATTTTTTTTAAACTGAATATTAATAAATGATTGATGTTTGGAATAAAAACGTTTGATATCAATCAAAAACACTTCTTAACAACGGAAAAAAGGAGTGACTATCGCAATTTCAAAATAAAACATTTCTGATATCAAATTTTGTGACGAAAACTTACAAGGCATTCGACCAAAAAAATACACTTCTTAAAATTTTCAGTGTAGACAAAAAGGAAAATGTTATTTAATTATTATAGTTCAGAAAATTAAATTATTTGCCCTTTGCTGGATTTAATAGTAACGGGATGCTTAAAATAAGAAAATTATAATAAAAGTGTCTTATTTGAACTATGGTGATTCATGGTTCGAGCTTGTACTATAGGTCTAGCCAATACTTCCTCCTTTATTTGTGCCAGCTACGGTCACGCCTTTTTCGATAGACATGAAGTCTCTTCGCAGATCTGGTATATTGTGGATTTGTAACATACGCGGCCACTCTGAAGCGTAAAAAAGTAAAAAGAGAAGCAACAGCGTGAGGTGTAAATAATGTAAGACAATGCAATATTGTAAAGGCGATCAGCAAATAAGTGCAGTGCGTTCAATTCAAGCCAAATTGGAACGGCGGAAAAGCGATTGACATTTTCCAGTGTGAAGCGCAATCGTGGAAAACGCAGCACACGCACACACACACCCACGGTGCACACACATATGGACTGATATTTTTCGTCTACGTTTCAATTCGATTTTCGGAAATTTCACCTTCGCGTTGCTGTTTTTCGGCTATTTCAAACTTGTTTTCAGCTGTGCGCGCCCCGCCCTCCGCCCCCTTTTGTTCCGTTGGCAGCCGCTCACTTTTTAATTTGCTTACGTATTACGTTCGCGTGCCAATTCGCAGAGTAAATCGTGCAGCATATTACCACGCACATTATTCAGCCGCTGCTTTCCAGTCGCCCCAATATCAGCTGGGAACTGTGTGTCGCTAAAAATAATACGGATCGGATAGGTGGAAATCGGTGAAAAGCAGAGGAAAACGCAGTCGAAATGTGTGTCAAAAAGCAGCAGCAGCAGGTGTATGTGCAGTGTTCTAAAGCGCTGCAATTCTGACTCCTCGTGTGTGTGTGTGCGTTGCAAACATATGGCAGCAAATTAATAATAATACTTCGCAGATAAAGGACATTTCTGAGGAACAAGCCAGAATGCCCTAAAAGTAAGCCACGAGCTAGCGTGAATCAAAAAGAACGAAATCCAATGACAAATGTAACAACCGAAACGCACCAGCCGCCCTGAGGAAGCAGAAGAAAGTCCCCCCAAGGGCAACCCACCACCCCTCCCCAATTATTATTATTTCATTTTCATTTACTTTTTAACCCTCCGCTCGAGAACGTGGTTTCTTTTGCGACGTGCAATACTTTGTGGCAAAAGTCTTGCAACGTTCCAAAGGAGAGCAGCACGTGGAGCGACGAGTACGGCCGTAAAAATACCCAAGTCCGTGGCCACCAAGCTGCAGCGTCTCAAGGCCAAGGCGTCTGCGAGCCAGCACTACGGCGGCACCTATCGGAAGTCATCGGCATCGACATCGTCTATCGGCAACCAGAACCAGAGCGAGGGCGGCGACAAGAGTTCATCTTCATCTGCAGTCCACGGCGGCCACAACCATCAACGCGGTGGCGCCGCCGAGGAGCGTAACTTTGCTGTGGCGGACGTGGCCGAGAAGTCATATCAAAACAGCACCACCAACCAAAACAACAACAACAACAATTATCAAAAGTCAAACCACACCAGTGCCAATTACAACCACTCCAACTACAATAACCACCCACAAAGCGCCACCACCAACCTGCCTTATCAGACCAATAACAATATCAACGCGATGATGATGACCAAACAGAAGAATTCGCTGGCCGAGCGCCTCAACATCGGCGAGGAGGTGCGGGAACTGAAGCTTGGCGCCACCTTCAACCCGAAGAACACCGCGACCTCCTTCCACACCATTAAATGTAAGTGTTGCCCGCGGGATTCCCATTCCCACCCCAGTCAGCTCACACCCACAAATGCCTCGTCTTGCAGATGACTTCAAGCCAGCGAGCGTGGACACCAGCCGCATGGCATCCGTCGACGTGGGCTCCAACAATCAAATTACTGTTACCGTGCCAAATTCAGGTGAGTTCACTCAGAACGAAAAATCTACATATATCACGCAAACTAAGACCACCTTTCTTAATTTTTATACTTAAACATATAAAAAAGATCATCCATTTGATGATTTAAGATAGCAAAAAAGAAACTTGATCTGTAAGAGATCTTAGTTCGGGTTTTTGTTATTAGGGTCAGAGAATATAAAGATTATTCTATTGTTAAACGCAAAATTACACATGGATAATGAAAAAATGCATTTAAACATACTTTACAAGTTATTTGAGGTAAATAACTAAGTTTCCCAAGAGAGAAGCTGATCTTAATGGCAGTGCACGGGCTTGGTCGAATGCACCTGCGTTCATTAAAACGATAGTGGAATGCTTCCCAAGAAGCTTTACTAAAAAAAAGATTTATAGCAATCAAGAACGCGTGCTTCAAGCCAAGATTTAGACCACTCAAAAATTGGATCCAGTTGTCTAGAACAATTATTACTTTCACTGATTACGCGTTTTTCGTTGCATTTGCCTTCGTTTGTTGACCTAAATCAATTTACAATTACTTACGCTTACGGCTTGAAACTTTACCCGACGATTTTCTTGAGTATTTAAAGTTTTTGTTTAAGATTATACTTCTTTCACTGATTTGAAATCGTTCTTTTTAATCGATCCATTTTAAAAGAAAAATCGTCGCGTTTTGAAAAGAGTTTATAAAATTTTCAAGTTTTTTGTTTTGGTGGTAGAAACCATTTACAGTGATGGTATTCCGATTGTAATTGCATTTGGTAACTAGATCAATCATATTTTGTAATAATGCAAACATATCAATGTTTATTATAGTTTTGTTTATAAGTAAATTATTAGTATTAGTCGCACAAAGATTCCTAGTCTCTTTTTTATTGTATAATAACAATGGAATGGTGCTTAGAATATGTACCCATGTATTCAAATTAGATTAAATTAAATTTATTAGCTTTTTTAGTGGTAATCGATTAGCGACTCAAAATACGTATATTTATAAGGCAAGGGAAACTTTTATTCAATCGTTTATTCGTGAAATAGAGAATCTTATGCAAACAGTAAAATTATTTATTTCAAATGCAACAGTAATTTAATAGGTGTTCATTCGCATTTAGCTATCTGATTAATTTGGACTAGAATGACATAATTTGGCTTTATTATGTGATGGAAACCAGTTACAATGCTCTTTAAGATACACAAATTGATGGCTAGCCCTGTGCAATTGTTGATTTAAACATAAAATCGCAGTCACTTGGCGAGCAGAAAAGAGACCAGCGTTAGTGCAAAGACACCAAATTACATCAAGTCAGGCAAAATGCAGCCAAGCGTTCAAGTTTTTCTCCTATTTCGCTATGCTCTTTGTGGCCAGACAGCGTCTGTGCCCTGACGACTGCGGTTGGCCTGTTGTTGGACCTCATTGCGGCTGACTTGGCTTGTGTAACGCTCCGTTGATTGCCAGCGACGAGTCGCCAAAGAGTTTTGGCGGCGGCGACGACAATAACAGCGGAATTTGGTCAAGTGTGGGTCTGGAAGTGGTTCGGTAACGGCCCGATCCGTCCCCCTTTCCGCCTCCCTTGGAATCGGACGGGTGCAGCCGAATGCGCACAATGTGCTGAACTAGTTTACAGTTTGGCATCGGCTAAAGCCGGGCATTCCGTTCAACCTATCATTTTTCTGAACACATTTGGCGAACTTCAATAACCACAACAAAGATAACCATATCGTGTACTAACAACCGCAGTTAATCTTATAGCACATAATTTGACATATAGACACTTTATAGAGTTTGTAGTTTATTTGTATTGTTTTAAGAGGGTTATTAGAGTATGATTTCCTAGTGCTTAAAAGTCCGAGCTAAAATCAATAGATTTTTTCCAGTTAATATACAAATTATTGAATGAAATAAAATAAACATGTTATTCCATGAGCTTTGAAATGGGGTATAAATAGAATACAGATATGGTACATAGATATAAAAATGAAACGATTACAAAGAAGTTAAGACATGTGTGCTTATGGTGTGTCAATCGAGCACTGGCATTTTACCTCTACACATTTAAGGGCGGTTTGATCTATTTTATTAAAAAGATTTAACCATAAGCCAGCCGATTTAGATGGGTTGTGTCTTAATCGCTTGGCTGCGGAAAGTTTAAATTGATTTTTTCACATTGTCAAGGACCAATTGTATAATTTCCCAAGATTATTGGTTAAATAACTTCCTAAAGTTGTCAACGACCATTTTCAGAAAAAAATAATTTTCCTTTAACTGGAATTCAAAATTGAAGGTAATTTATTTTTAATATAAGGGACTAAATCCGCATAGCAGAGGGTGGAAATAGCTTTCTTTACTGTATTTAATTCTCTTAATAACTCTTAGGGAAAGTCATTTAGATTATGAAAAGGGTCCAATACCTCAGGTGGTGAAGTTTGCTGCTGTGTGTCGCCAAAAATCTCAACTAGAGATCCCAATTTATACATCGTTGAGCCGGCCTTACTGATTGCATTCCCGGTAGAATTAATAAGTCTACCTTTAATGGCCGCCAAATGAGTCAATATGGCCATTAAAGTATGCACCTGAAGCACAAACACTTTGTTTTAAATTAGTATATTCTCTGATAAGAGTAAAAAGATTCTTACCGACTATTAGAACCGAGAACCGCATTGTAGACTTCACTTGATGGCGATTGAACGCTGGTATTGTCAGTTTGAGTCATACCGTCCATTTATAAAGCTTGCATGATAATTGCAATTAACGTTTAAAACAAATTTTTTAATTATCATGCTACTACGGATAAAAAAGGGTCGCAAATGAACTTAATAATATGCATTTTAATGTGAACCACTAAGGAATTCTTATTTATTAATCCGTGGAAAGATGAATTATACATGGAGAGTAGTTTTCAAATTCCAGACGGATCTTTACTGGTGAAATCTTTTTAAATCTTTTAAAACGTTTAGTTTTGCCGAATTGTATTGTCAACCTGTGTTATCCGAAAGTATAAAAAATTACTCCAATAAAAAAAAGACAATTGAGTAAAAATGAGTGGCTTTAGCCTTTTTTAAAACAACCAAATATTTTTCTAAATTCCAAAATTCAGTTCTTTAATTGCGCAGAGCTACAACGTTCATTTCAAAGCTTCCTGTTAAATAACACAAAAATGTGCATTAACTTGAGAAGTGCGGTTTATTTAATGAGATTTTGCTATTATCGTAAACCACTAACTCTTTTCACTATATCTCGCATGGGGCACAAGCCTGTTCTTGCAGTAATTATGTTTATGTTCGTGTTCACCTCGGGCTTATATGTTTTTGGGCAGTATGGAGGAGTACAATCTATGGGCGGTGGGCAGTAGGGTGGCAAACAGCTCACAGAGCTTCCCTTTCCCGAGTTTCCGGGAATACATTTGGGATAGGTGCAGGGATTTGGACAGTAGGGTTTCCAGCAAGTCGGTGGCATTTGGCAGGCAGGCGCTTTGCACGGTGGAAAGCAGGTTGGCGGGACACAAGACGGATTGCAATTGGGTAGTACACAAGGATAGCAGTAGGGTGGCTGGCAAATCGTGGGGCAGAATGGCATATAGCACCAGGGAAAGTAGGAGCCATCGGGGTATACCAGCTCGAACGATGGGTGAGGCGGGGCCTGAATTTTAGATGAAGGTGGTGCAGGCGGCTTTGGGCATAATGTTTCCACTTTCTTAACCAGTAATTTAAATAAGAAGCATCGTCGTGATGATGTTGTATGCACCTCTTCGAGAGCTTTTCCCAGAGACGACACCCATTGGGTTCCATATTTTTTTCCAGAATTTGCTTCAGCAATGGCATTTATCAGTTCCGTAGTTAGTCTCTTCAATTTGAGGTGATCCTGCGTTCTGCTCAGCTGGACGCAAAGAAAACCTTAATATAAAGAATGGTTAATATGATTATCTTATTGAAAAAGGTCTTTGATACTAATAGTTTTTATAACTTAAGTAGAAGTTTAGTTCTTTACATCTTTAATACAAATTTTCAATGCAATTTATTCACAGCACGTTAACTCATTTAATTATTTGCATCAAGTTCAAGCAGATTTAAAGGGTTGCATTACAATTTATTGGAAGACTTACATATTAGAAGCAATATCAGCCGGACAGCTCTGTTCATTTCAATAGAATTATAAAACTTGGAAAATATGTTTACTTGCATCAGTAATAAAACAACTTGTTCCTTGGCTAATTATATTTAAACGAGAAAAACTGAACTGGATTGATTAGCTATGCTAGAAAGCCAATTCAATAAAATAACAGACACTTTATTTTCCTCATTACTTATAAAGTAGGTATAAGACCTATAAACTGCATGCAAAAAAATCTGTAACCCTTAAAATAGTTCAAAAATAAAAATTGTAGCACTTTTAGTAAGTTGTTGCAAAGGTTTGGGTTTTTGTTTTATTTCTATGTTTCTTATTTAATTCCTAATAGGTTTAAGCGCCTCGTGCTAGAACTTATAATAGTTACCAGATATCAAAAAACTATAAAACTAAATATAAACACATTTCATTAGCCATCAGATTTGTAACCACTATTTTTTTAGCAAGTTAATATTTTAAGTAACCCTCCTCAAAAAAAGCGACTCTTTGAAAAATATGTATATGGGCCAATTACTATCTAACAGTTGCTTCTATTACAAGGAAAACAAAATAATCCTTCACTTTTTTAAAACACTTTTATTGGCTTAGGCCTAAAGGCTTATTAAGAAAATATCTTTAGTTTCTTAATCATACATTTTTTAAATTGTTCAATTAGCTTATCCATTTCTTCTTCTTTATAATGGTTCGCCGTTCTAGCTTTTATGGGAGAATTATTCTCTGCGAGGACAATCGTTATATCAGGCATTTTGATGCTTGGAAGATTTATAAAGTTTTCTAAAGTATTTTTATTGGTTATGTCAATATTTCCAACATTTATTTGATGTTTGCTTCCTTTCTTCACTTCAATAATGCAAAGCTTTTTCAATGTGTCTGTCGTTGTCGTATCTTGTCGCCCTCTTACATTATTAGCGAACCATGATCGCAGTTCGGAAATCTTTCTCGAAACTGCATAGATTTCATAATGAAATAAATATAGTAAAACTAAAGAATGAGAAGAAAATTGGTTTATATATTTGGTTTCGGGACCGATAATTAAATATGACTTACCAAAGTATGCCGCAAAAAATCGCATTTCTAATTGTAGCAATGACACTATGCTTAAATCTTCACATAATATTCTTTATATACTCAAAGTCGTGAATCCATTAGTCAGACTTTAAATGCATGTTAGAATTGGTATTTCCTTGAAGATCAAAGGAAACGAATTGCCTTAGCAAAAAAGATTAATATCGGCTTGAGTTTAGAGAAATCCGAGTTAAGAAAGTTCGCCTTATGAACATTAAATGTTATAATAAAAAGTCCCAAATGCTTTAGCCGCTTAGTTTAGGTCTAGTTATAGAAAATTTGGATTAGCAAAATTTGAGTTTTCTCAGTTCGAATTAATACTCTATATAACACATTTTACAAATCAACATTTTCCTATTTCAGAAACCATTAATAAAACTTTTAATTTGATTTATTTTTCAACTATTGTTCAATAGTAAATCATTTTAAATGTTTTTATTTAACATAATGTTTTTACATACAGTTTTCGATTAGGTTTTGATTACTTTCAAGTCTTCGACTTTCATCAGTACACATTTTTTAACGTCCGGACTAATTTTTTTCGCTGTTCTGGGCGCTGCTTTAGGTTTGGCGCTTTGAATAATAATAGTCGCGTTATTGGTATTTTTATTTTTCTCTTGATATTTGGCCAGCTCCTTTGCGTCCTTTACAATAACCACCGTGATTGCCGGCATTTTAATTTCAGGCATGGTTATGTTGTTCTTTATTGTATTCAAATTTTTTATATTTTGAGCACCAACTGTTATATCTAGACCTCGATTTTCTGGACTTCCCATTTCTGATTCACACAGTTTAACAAGTGTGTTTAAGAATTGCTTTTCTTTTTCGCTACCACGATTTTTCTGGGTACCTTTGCCTGTTTCGTAGGTTGTTTGGAGGAATGAAACTCCTTTTTTCAGGAAGTTTGTATATTTATCAAATACATTCTTTTTTATATTCTGAAAAAGAATAAATGGGCGAGCATTTGAACTATGCTCGGATTGGATCATATAGAAAATCACTGTAAATTTTCGAAAAGGAAATTATTTATTAGACTTTCATTTAAAAAACAGTAAACTTACGTATAAAGACTGCAAAACCCCGCATTGTGTGTTGCTTAAAGAGTACTAAGCCTCACAGTATCTGTCTGCCTATAGATACTTAAGGTTGCAGCCGTGGTCACGCAATCGCTACGTTCAATCCATTGGCTCCGCATCACCTTTCAATTTAGAACTGAAATACTTCAAATGTTTTTGCCGAGAGCGTTCAACCCTGGCTATCGATATTGAGATATATATATATATTGATTTTTTTTAGTTATTTATATATTTTCAACCTTGAGGAAAATACATTCAAATCGCCAAACAAATCAAAAGAAAATAGTATTTACCACAATAAAAATTTAACTTGCTTTAATAAAGCAGAACTCTAAATGAATACGACAAACAAAAAAAACGTATTCTTGAAATTAAGTAGTACTCGTCAACAAGATTACAAGCTTTATCAAAACGATAACCAACCTGATCCTGGCATCCATATTATCACATAAAGGTTGCTCACTTACTTTCTCAATATTAGCGAGATTGTGTTTCCTCGTCAGGCTACAAACTTAAACCTTAATATCACATATAACTAGTCCCAATAATTTTATTTTATTTATTTTGCAGAAAGTTCCGGTGTGCCTCATACAGTTTATAAGGGTAATCAAAGGGAGTATGCAAAGGAGTGCTTGATGATCTATGACAAGGAGACGGGTGCTATCACAATAGAAAAGCTGAATCACAACATTCAAGTGAAGAAGACAAGGTGAGTGCCACAATAACATAGATAATTCTAAACAGTGAGCAACTATTTTCGTACTTGCAGGAGCGAAGTAACCAACAAGCCAGCCTTCTTGCCAGCTCAGAATGTGCCGATGAACATGGGCCAGGGTCAGGGCCAGGGGCACAGTCAGGTCATCAACGGAGCTGGAGCGGCACCAATATCAGCTCCCGGGCACGGATCCGGATCGGCACCCAAAATGGAGAACAGCACCATGCGAATCTCATCCAAGACGAAGGTTTCTACGGGCAGCCGTCGGAACAATATAAGTAAGTAACAAATTAATTGTTCAAGAAAACAAAAGAAGTACATTTTTTAGAATCTTCAATCGTTATAGGAGTCTCAACATAAACACAGGGGTCACATTAATTATTAACCAAGTTTTTAAACTATACTTACTACTAATTCTTACATTATTAATTTTATAAAATATAAGTGAATTAAAATTGTCTGCCTGAGAAGCTCATTCATTATTGGACTTAACTTTTTCAACTAAAATTTTACCCGTTCTTATAATTTTCAGTTGACTTCAAACCACGCAATTCGCCCATGCAGCAGAGCTCACCATCGCGTCCAGTGCCTGTCCATCGCAGCCCCCAATCTGCGCCAGCGTATGTTATACCCTCTTTCATCTTGGGGGCGTTTAGTAAATAGTTTTTACCTTTCAGTTGGGATGCGAATAATGCACAGCAGACGTTGCCGAGCATTCCCATGATTACCGACGACGATGACTTTGGGCTGAGGGCGGCCCTGCACAATAGCGGCCAGGCGAATACCTCAGGCTCCTCAACCGGTTCGGCGGCAGGCCAGCCGGACTTCGGATCCACGTCCTCGCACATGGGCAAGCAGCGGCAGGCTCCCCACGGCAAGCGCCAGCAGATGCAGCAGCGAACAAGTCCACCGATAGCCCAGCAACAGCAGCAGCACCACCAGCAGCCATCGAACTATGGACGTGGCTACAACGGCGGCCAAAACCACGCACAACAGCAGCAACAACGGCACTCGCCCCCGCAACACCACCAGCAGCGCCCATCGGCCTATGGACACGCCAATAGCATGCCCGCGGACCTGGATTCGACCAGGGAGCATGAACTGACCTCGCAGTCCGTGGCGCAAGCGGCTGCCGCTTTGGAACAGGTATGTTCACAGTATGATTCCGTGTGAAGCAGTACTAAGTTTGGGGTTCTTTTTCTTACAGCAAATTGGCGGTGCATTGAGTGCCTCGAGCTCCAGCTCCGATTCGGATTCCAGCGACAGTGACAGCGGCAGTGACTCTGACGACAGCACTGAGGATGATCGCCCCATGCAAGGGCAACATCAGGAACAAGAGCAGCATCATCATCAACAACAGCAGCAGGCAGCGCAGGTGTATCAAAATCAGCACCACCAACAACAGCAGATGTCACAGCAGCATGTAAACCAGCTGCCCAACCTAGGCCTGGGATCCATATCACCAGCCTACGGCAGCAATCATCATCAACAGCAACAGTTGCATCATCACCAACAACAGCAGCAACAGCAGCAGAAACAACAGTCCGGCATTTACGCGTCCAATGGTGGCTTTCCAAATGATTTGCTACAGAACGATCTACAATTGTCGTCAAATTCGTCCGATGATGACGATTAGCTGTTTTAGGTTTGATCCAATTCGCCTCCTTTTGACAAAACCAACGACAAGAGCAACAACAATTATTGATATTCTGCCTATATGCGTGTAATTAATTTCCAATTATTGAGGGGTGATTTTACTTGCTAGTGAAATTTTTATAAATAAATTCTTAGTTCTACACCACAATATACACAAACATATATTAATTAATTTTAAACATTAATTTTAGACCTTCCAAATGTGCTGGAAAACATTAAATTATAACAAGAAAGAAAAAAAATCAAATCAAAAACTCACAAAACACAACTTAAACCTATCTTTGTCAATATATATTAATTTAAATACGAAATTAAGGTTATGTGAGACTTGTTGAAAGTCCTAGAGAAGATCGCACGGAAATACATATACCCCAACAATAACCAAGAGAAGAAATAGACGATGTAGACGATGCAACTACGGAAATTATTTAGTTTTTAATAAGAACACTGAAATCTTAAAAATAATTTTAAAGTTTTCAAGAAAAAGTGACCGCGCGGATTTTTGCCATTAATTACACATTTAAATCTAAGCCACATAATCATTTTAAAATATTTAGATACCAAAAGCAAAAAGAAACTTTCAAGTCCTATTTGTTTTTCCTTTATTCGCTAATTTTTTGTTGCCAAGCTTAATTTTATCGTTGCCGATTTATTTAATATTTTCAAAAATAAAAAACCTATCTAAATGTTCATTTTTGATTAATTTGTTAGCTATATTTATCACGAATGTATTTTAGCCCCTTATCTTTATTAGTTACATATTTGTGCGGTATGAAGACATTTATGTTTTTAGCTCATGTTTTATTTGAATTTATTTGTAGTTCTTTAATTATTTTTTAATATATATTATTACGATTTTGTTATGAGCTTGCAATAGTTAAAAGCAACGAAAGAAATAAATGTGAAACGAAAGAACCGGCCTGGTGAAAACCATTTTTATTTTATGTTTCCCCAGATAACCCAAATAATTTGTTACAATGCTGAGCAGTATACTTTACTCACTCAAGACACAACTCCTTCCAAATGTTAGTGTGCACGAAGTCCAGAAACACACTTACTTATATTAACACTATTTGATTTGCCAAAACAACAATGAATTGTATTTATGAAGTACCATCCACGAGAAAACGACCAATATCTGAGAAACAGTCAGAGCGAAATGGAGATAATACCAATTATTTTTTGTACATTCTACATGAAAGTATGTCTAGGATTAAATTGTTTTTCGAGCTAGAAGGGGTTTATTGAAGAATTCACTCTTTTGGGCACTACAATTGAGCATCAACACCAAACACCTAAAACAATTATAAACAAATCAACATGAACTAAACGAAAACAACAAAATGATTCAGATAATCATAAGCACAATATACATATGCAAAGAATCTAGAACTAATTATATAACTAATTCTATAATAAAATCCGAAAATGCCTAAGATCACAATGAAATCAAGCAAGTAACTTAGTATAATTGGTAAGCAAATATATATATATTATATACAAACATGCATGTACACGACTTTATATACAAAAAATATGACAAGAAATTACTTTCAGTTAAATTAGTTCTAATACCGACCATTAAACAGTCAACAAATCAAATAAATCTATCAATTATCGTTTTAATATAATTCCTGGGGAAAGATAAAAGAGGTGTAATGTCCAATTGAACGAGAACGGGAGCTACACTTGAAATCTTTATTAAAATTAATGAAAGCGTTTTTTTAAATAATATTTATAGTTAAAGCATTTTGTTTCTAATTTTTGAAGAAAAAAAATGATTTTCCTCCTTATAAAAAAATTCAAATAACGGTCAAAAAATATTTATTTCCAAATCAATATGGAACAGTAATTTTCGTCTGTTTAAGTTATGTCAACTACAGTAATCTTTTCTTAGAGAAAAAGTTTATTAACAATATTTTAATCTTTTTTATAATAAATTAGTTTTTATTATTTGTATTAGATCTAGTGATCTGAATGTGAAACTAGGAAGGGTATAAAATCGTTGACTTCCTAAAGCTCGCTAAATCTCCCGCACTTTTCAATTTCTAGTACATTTTTCAGTACCCCATAGTATATTTTACCGGTCAAACAGCGGTCACACTAATAAGTTCCTCGCGGATTGTGTTGTATCAACAGGTGCTTATTAATTGGCTAAAATCCTTGAAATGGGCGACGTTACAGGACTCAGCAATGCCGAAGCCGACGAGCTGTGTCAGAAGCCGGAGGCGTCCACCAAGGTGAGCCAATCCCATGGGGATAACCACCATATAATCGAGTACCATTAACCCGCTGTCGATGCAGGACTTCCTGTTCCAGCAAACCATGTACCGCATCAAGGATCCGCGCCGGTCGCTGCCCTTCTACACAGGCGTCCTCGGCATGACCTTGCTGGTGAAACTGGACTTTCCCGAGGCCAAGTTCTCGCTGTACTTCTTGGGGTAAGGTTGATTGCTTCGGCTTATCTAAATACGTGAGATTCGCCGGTGATATGATGTGAATTGCCTTCTTATCTTCCGCAGCTACGAGAACGCCGCCGATGTGCCAAAGGATCCCAAGGAGCGCCGCAGCTGGGCGATGAGCCGCAAGGCCACCATTGAGCTGACCCAGTAAGTGGTGTAGCAAATTAAAGACTATTCTGTTTTTTAATGCACAAGAATTTGATCAAGTTAAATTTAAATGGTTTATCATTCTTTTGCCAATTTGGCATACCATATTATAGGGCTGATTTCTCAATGTCATGGTAAGGTTCTAGTTTCTAATCTTAAAGGGAAAAGCCTACAATATATTAATAAAGTACAATTTTTCGAAATGACCATTGAATCCAATGTCAATACTTTAACATGATATTGAGAAATCTGCCCTAAAATAATTTTCACGTTTAAACTGTTTCGCAGTATTAAGAAAAATATATTTTCGAAACTTGTTGAACTGAGAGTATACTTGCCTTATTGCAAGGCAATAAAATTCCGAGGTAAAAAAAACTGTCCGACAATTAGACATTAGACATTTCTAAACACATTGGGTCGGTACCCAATCAATATTTTAGGAAGTGTATTCGCAAGTTTCCGTTTCTTAAAATAGAACAAACGTGTGTTCAGTGTTTTCTTTGGCTACATTAAAGATGTATACGACACCTCGGTTTAAAAGAAAAACAGAAATAGAAAATATTTTTTAGTGCTCTAAGTACATATATAAAAAAATATAAAAATCAACACAATTAAATATTTTACGGTTTTTATATTGAATATTGTTTCAATGTTCAGTTGAAGTTTACAACATTTTAAAGTACAAGATATTGTCTTTTTGTTCAAGATAGGGTGAAGTGGTTATTCAATTACTAACTAGTTTGATTACCCATAGCAACTGGGGCACTGAGAGCGACCCGGATCAGAGCTACCACACCGGCAACACCGATCCCCGTGGCTTCGGGCACATTGGACTCATGGTGCCCGATGTGTACGCCGCCTGCCAGCGGTAAGTGATGGGTACAGAAATGTTTCCTCCCTCTAATTATCGTGTCCTGCAGCTTTCAGGAGCTTGGCGTCGATTTCGTCAAGAAGCCCGACGACGGCCGCATGAAGGGACTAGCCTTTATCAAGGACCCCGACGGCTACTGGATCGAGATCTTCAATGCCCACTCCGTCTAGATTGGCTGGCAGTTAAATTTCTTAAATTATTTTTTTATTAAATGTTCATCTTTTACTGTTCCTTAATTACCTCCGCCACATCTCAGCCGACGAGTAGAGCCTTCGAAATGGAGTCGATAAAATAAATGCGAAGTTGTCAAACAATTGGGCTGTGGACCTCATTCACCTGTGTTGTGTGCACCTGTCGCAGCTGCTGCAGCTGTCAACTCAGGCTCCAAAATAATTGGCTCCTGTGTCCTTGCCGGCTTGGTATTTTCACACGCTAATTATTATTTACATCGCGGACTGCCGAGCTTTTTGATAAGCAAGTGTGTTACTCACTCGCACATGGGGTGTTTGCCCAGACGGTCTGCGAGGCTCCTGCGAAACGGGGGTGGTGGTTGGCCACTAATAATAGTCAAATATGGGAGCGCATTATTTGTTTGGTGTCGAATATGGCGTTTTGCAATTTAAGGTCGTGTATTTGGCCACTCGAGAACAGTTCTCGTCCGGAGGTCGTACTGCGAGTGTCCCCAGTTCAGAAACACGATGGAAATATCCCAGCCCAGCATCGGCATCTTCTACATCAGCAAAGTCCTGGCCCTGGCTCCATATGCCACGCTCCGGAACTCAAAGGGCCAAGTGGAAATATCTCGCAGCTGGATATTCACAGTCTACTCGGCCACCTTAACGGTGGTAATGGGTGAGTAAGGTCTCAAAAGGGAGTAGCTCCCTCCAACTGATAGCTGTCGAACTCCTGTTAGTTTTTCTCACCTATCGGGGACTTTTGTTCGATGCCAATTCCGAAATACCCGTACGGTAAGTACTTCCGCCTTGCTGCCGGAATTAGATGCAATTATGTTAACTACTTTTAAAGTCCATAGTCCTGTGTTGTTCCCTTTAATAATCTGTTTGGTGTTCGAGCCACTCACAATTTTCAAAATAATGGCACTTAAAATTGGAACTAATATATCATTACATATTGGGTCATAATATAGAAAAGGAGAATTATGTTTGATTAGGGACTCTTAGATAGGCACTCTAATATTACATTGGATGAATAGTGCCATTATTCTGAAGTGCCATTATTCTGTGTGTTTGCTTATCTCAATCTTCCTCTATCTAATCCTCACATTTGCTCCCTTCTAAACACATTTGATCTTGATCAATTATTTGCTCTGACAAAATGCAAACAAACCAACCAACAAATCAAAAGTGCATCTTTTAGAATGAAATCGGCAACATCGAAGGTGGTGACGGCCCTGGACGTTTCCGTGGTGGTCATGGCCATCGTATCGGGTGTTTACTGTGGCCTTTTTAGCCTGAAAGACACACTCGAGCTAAATGCTCGACTCAGCAAGGTGAGGTCACAGGCGTCAAATGGCCCGTCCCTTAAATTTCTCCACATTTTCTAACCCCTCATTTTAGATTGACAGCACTTTAAATGCCTACAACAACTTCCGAAGAGACCGATGGCGAGCCGTGTCCATGGCCGTGGTCTCCTTGGTGGCCATATCGCTTTTGGTCGGCCTGGATGTGGGTACCTGGATGCGCATTGCCCAGGACATGAACATAGCGCAGTCGGATACGGGTAGGTATCCCCTTAATTTCTTAATCAAATATAACACTTTTAGGCTTTGAAATAGGCTATAGTGGATTCTGGTTCAAATTAAATGCAATTATTGGCGAGCGGGGAATTGTTTTCACATATTTTAAAAAACTTCAGAACACTTTCATTCTATAATATTCTCTAACTTAGTAAAAACTTTAAACATTCTTGGAATTGTAGAAAGTAAAACCACTAGTACCACTATATTATTAGTCGCCTTTAATATGTAAAACCATTAAATTGGACTTAAATATTGATAATAAAATAGCCATGTACTATCATATCTATTATTTTCTTCTACTCCCATGGATAGAGCTCAATGTGCATTGGTATATTCCATTCTACGGCCTCTACTTCATCCTCACGGGTTTGCAAGTCAACTTTGCGAACACCGCTTATGGACTGGGCAGGCGATTTGGACGCCTTAACCGGATGCTTTCCGGCAGTTTTCTTTGTGGTATGTGGTATCTGAAACTTGCAAGATCCTTGATTATTTGTTAACCAACCAAACAGAGAACAATGCCTCCAGTGCCATTAAGCCGCTCAAGGTTAGCACTGTCAAGAACATCAGCATGAGTCGTCCTGCGATGCCAGCGGCGTTGCACGCGAGTCTGACGAAGCTGAACGGCGAGACTCTGCCCAGCGAATCCGCAGGTGACAAGGCAGCCTCCCGCAGT